ACCGCTTCCAGTCCGCCAGAATGTGCGAGACCGCGCGAGGCCAAAACGACACATGCAATCGGATGCAATCGGGAAAGGCTCACAGGCTGTCCTTGATCCTTCACCTTGCTGTTCCGTGAATATGCTGCGCCGCTGGGGAAAGGTCGGGAATCCTTCAGGTCCACTAAGAGATAAGACGGCACCGAAACCGGGCTACCTTGGTTGATAAGTTGATAGAAGAAAAGGCCATGACGGAAATGCGCCGTGGGTAATTGCAACACCTAAAAGCCGAGGGTTAAACGCCTGATAGAGGTAGCGCGTCTGACAAGCGTTGATGAAAGCAAAGCTGCGCGAATGAAGATGTTGAATCAGGTGTTGCATGAATCGCTGTTGGTGCGCAAGTTCAGTTGATGGTGAGGTGGGGAATCGAGATTGCTGGCTTGCCGATAGCTGCTTGCTATGGCGGAGACTGCTGTTACTCAGACAGAAGAAAATTCGAGTAGATGACGGATAGCTCTTATCGTGGAGTCAGAGCCAGTAATTAGCTCTTTACCGTGGCGTTTTTAATCGTGGGCGGAAGAGGGTGAGAAGTGCAAGGCGGTCGTAGCATGATGGTGGGATTCGATGATCCCTCACATTGACGAGCCAACGAGCCATATGCCCCGGATTCTCTTGGGATGGGCGATATGTCGTCATTATCACCCCGATGGAGCAGAGAATCATCGAGCCAAGACATTGATGGAGCGTCCCATTCGCACGAGCATTGAGAGGGTGCCTTGGTTGCGTCTAGGTTTCGCCCATGTGGTTGTGGCAGCATTCGTCTGATGCGCAGGAGAGTCGAGCCTGAACTTCTGGTCTGAAGTGGGAGACCCGTGGACAGGAGTGAAGGTGGGCGGTGGGCGGAGCTTGGAAACCCGGTGCTGACTAAGGTACTTTCCTTCACCTTACCTAGGTAGGTAGCATCCTTTCGGAGTCTGTCCCCAGTACCTCAGTGAATACGTACCTCGAGGGGTGCCTGTAAGGTACCTTAGGTAAGGTAGGCTGTCGCAATTGCACACTGTTGGAACACTTTGGGCGGGAACGACATGAGCATGAAATGGACACCAATAACCAAAGGAAAGGAACGCTAGAAGGAGCATGCGTTGCTGCTCCGTTCGCTCTTGCCTTGTGGGAACGAACTATGCATCCATGGAAAGAACCAAAATCTATCCGCACCTTACTGGCCAGTGGCCACGCAGACGAAGCCATTTGGAGAAGCTGCAAGCCAGGTTGGTTCTTCCTGTGTTTGAATGGCCGCGCCTCTGATTGGCTGTCCCCTCTTATCTTTCGGCACGGTGGGGCTGAGAACGCTAGCGTCATCTTGGCAATGATAAGGCGAGGCAGGCACCAGTGGGACGGTCCATACCCTTGTCTGACCCTGCAGGGGGTCCCCCCGTCCCTCTTTCCCTTTCCGTCTTCCAACGAACGACCGAAACGGGGCACCTGATAGACGACGACTCCTCACCTTCAATCTCTCACCACTGGCATCTCACACACTTAACACAGCCTCTCAACTCAAGCGCCAATGTTCGTCGTTGTCACCTTATTGTTCTCACCTCTATTTCATGTTCGGACTCAGTGTTTCGCTTCCGCATCATGCAACTCAGTAGCTCATCGCTCGTTACGAGTGACCTTCATAGCTTCTCCCATTTGCTTGTGGACATCTACCTTAATGATACAGAGATAATCAGAGTCCGTCTGCTGACTTGCAGCCTTATCAGCAACCAGCGCCATTCCTGATTCCTGCAGCACTCATCATACCCCTAACCATTCATATCCGAAATCTCCATTCGTCTCTCAAACCATGCCGCCCTAGACTAGTCGCTCCCGTTGCATTCGCCAAGGAATACCGGCTAACACGGTATGTAGCATGAAGCGTCAAATCCTCTTCGTTTGTACAAAGTACTGATAAAGAACTACTGTCGTATGTACGTGTCACACGCGCGGCCTCTCAGTCTCAGACTCTTGGTGTCAAAGTCGTTTCCCTCTTCATGAGCCATCACTGGCGAGCTCGCAATCTGTCATTCATCTGACCCATTGGGCGCCAGGCTTCTAGGTGATCCGTCTCACTTGCTCCACATCGTGCACTTACATGAGAGTGAGGAACAAAACAGATGGTCGATCAAAAACTTTAAACGTGATTTGGACATGTCTCATATCTGCCCTGGTCTGAAAAGATTTCATGCTTTGCAAAGGTTGCCGTTCATCGCCCAACGGCCGCACGGCAACTTTAGAGTTAGTAGATCAACTTTGTTCCTCCTCCTCCCGTCCCGTCCGCCTGGGTCTGTCCCGCTGACTTGCGTCTTTGCGGGCGCTCTCTCTCTCATTTTGACATCAAATGGCGCCCAAGCGCCCCCGATTATCCGTAGATAGTCTGTTCTTCAAATGGACGGGCGCTCACCCTTCGCGTGGCTGCGGGCGCAGCAACATTCACTCATACTTATATAAACGCCGGTTTCCAACCTTTCTACTTCAACTCACGGCCTTGAAAATTTCAATCAATCACGTCGAAACCTACCAAGGGAGATGTCCTTAAGCCATACGCGAGCAATACATTATACAACCAGTACGAAATCACAGTAGCAACTCGAGAGACACGAAGAGCCTGATATTCAAACCCGACTCTACAACACACCTTAGCCACCAATCAGCACGCTGCCCTCGGCATATCCTCACCTGGCGAGAGAAAAGCCGTATCCAAGTCCTTAGATCTTCTTATGTCCGCCAACATGATAGGCCATGAGTGGAGTGCTCACCCACTCAATGATTGCCTCGCAGTATCACCACGACTAAACAATGGACACCACCTATATGCATCATAGCCATCAAGCACAATAGACTGGGTTTAAGCTAGGTGCCTAGAACTGAAGCAGTTTCCACAGGACTGCCAAGCCCTAGATTGCCAGTAAACCTGGCTCCTGCACATTTGAGAACAAGCTGCCAAAGTTCCCAGCAGGACGACACGATATGAGGATCCTGACTCTTGGGACTAGGTCGAAGATGAATTTTGACAAACGGTGCCATCAAGTAATTTCGATGCAGTCACTTGCAGGGTTGATTCTGATGACTTGTTGCAGCAGTCGATATAACGATACGTGTCAGGCTGGCGATCCATTGTCTTCTCTCGGGATGCTGTTCCTCATGACCCAATATTCTCACGGCTTGTTCCCTCTCCCTACATACAATAATTGACAAGAGTCTGATAAATCCAACAATGATTCCACATTCGGAGAACCTGAATAACGCATATGCCTATAGAAATGCTGTAAATATGAGAGCTGTGGCCTACAGGTGACAGAAATGGGACCTAAAGCCCCTAGAGTTCGGTCCCTGGGGCCCAAGGCCTCGAAGGGCATGATGTACGAGGCAACGAGATTCGTACCCATGCCGGACTAGATACACGAAAGCAATCCACACTTAACCAATTTCCTATAATAAGTCCAGATTCTGCCGTGTGATGTAGTCGAAAACTTCAAACACCGGCCCGCAGCATCTTGTCCCAACCAAAAGAGAACAAGTTCACCTGAACTATCTCACAATTTCTAATACCAGATAGAGGCTGTCTTCATACATCCATTGACTGAATCGTAGAAGTTTTATACGTTAGCTTGTTCCTAGGCCTTGAATCTCCCATGAGTGGTAGATGATGGATGGCATGCTTGCAACATAAGGTAGGGGGAGGAGTTAGCTGGGCTGTAAGCCCTGCTCAAAGCATCGTTGCTCTTATGCATGCCTTTCATAAACACTTTATCTCTTGCTCCGATGATGCGCCTGTATCCTAAGTGAGTTATATCAAGCTGTAAAAGATGATCATGAAGTCTTCATTCAGCCCAGCGGCATTTTACTAATGGTCTTGGTTCCCAGTATGAATGGGAAATCAACTTCCTCTCATCCAGGTTAACAAAATTTCTATACCTCAAATCGTTGTGATACTCAAAACATGCCGTCACTGATGGAATTGGGCCTTGACTGAGATGTATACACAGTCATATGAAAGTCAGCTCAACCTACCTGATGATTGTCTTGATGATAGAAAGCTTTGTCATGACATCGAAACCAGTCCGAAGCTGACAGCTTCGCTATGATTTACCAAACTATCAACGGCGGGACATTGTCCTGCCCTTGCGTTCGCATACTTCACTCATAACAAACGTACACGATCACGCGTTGAGATATCATCGACTTGATAGGAGTCTTCCGGAACCCTGGCTACCATGTCTTTCCGCGAATACGAAACTCCAGCAGGCATGGTGCAAATTTAGCGTAAGGTTAACGATGGCGACTTGACTAAGTTACTGATAGTCTATCGCTTACCCAGCGAGGCTGTTATCACTAATTTCATCAATTTTACTTCATGTAACTAATACAGCTCCGTGGTGCCTTTTGGTACAGCATCGAGTAAAAAGGTTGACCCTTGACCTTACGCTAAGACCTGATAACACCACCGGGCCTGCGACTTTCGATTTAGTCATCAATAGAACCCTTGATCTCGGGGTTTGCAAAATACTGAAGGCCGTGTTGATAAGCTTTTGACACATGCCCCGACGACCGTGATTGAATCCAGGGCGAGTTGCCATAGTGTTGCCAATGTCGCCAAGAAATAGATCAGAAGTCAGCGGCTCGGAGGCTCAGACAACGAGGCTCTCATAAGGCGTATGTTTGTAGGGCGCATGAGCTTGCCGCGTCATAAAGGCCGCCACTTGCAACGTATAGTACGATGTTGTGTCGCTCCATCCAATAAAAGTTCGGATGACACACCGTAATTCTGGTGACTGAACGTTTCGACGTTCGGAACAGCCCCGCTCTGGAGCGAACCGAAATGCTAAGTTAGTGGGGCTGTTCCGAATGGAGTCATGTTAGATGGAATAAAAGGTTCTCGTACTGATGTCTCATCAGGGAAAGTGAGATAGTTAAATTGAGACATAGTACTTGCTTCGTGCCGTAGAAAAGATAAAGGCGCTTTTCAGAACAGATTCAAGAATATGGCCCATCCTTATCATAACATCAAAGACGTAAGCTACATCTTATTCCACAGGAAAGCATGCTAATCGCTTTCTGACTTAGTTCCAATCGTTTTGCAAAGCTCGCGCTGTTGCTTTGCACAAACATGTATCCGCTTTACCGGAGGGCAAATTCGAAGAGAACCCTTGGGAACTTGTGCGACTTATAGAGGACTTTGCCAACACCGAAAAGCTCCCCATGATATTCCGTGAAACCAAGATGAACCTGGCCCGAGTCGCTCTCGCAGATATGAGCCCAAAGCCAAAGGTGATGGTCGAGTTTGGAAGCTTCGTTGGTAATTCGACGATAGCATGGGGCGCTATGCTGAGAGAGTTTTATCCAGGCGACAATAGTGGCATTCGCGTTTACAGTTTCGAGCTCGACCCCGAACTAGCAGAGATTGCACGAGATGTTGTGAAACTAGCTGGTATGAGCGACATTGTCACTGTCGTTGACGGACCAGGCGCAGAGTCGTTGAAGACTCTTGTGAAGAACGGAGATCTTAAGACCGAAAGTGTTGATGCAGTCTTCTTCGACCACTGGGAAGACATCTATCTTCCAGATTTGAAGCTCTGTGAGGAACTTGGAGTTCTTCACAAGGGATCAGTTGTATTGGCAGACAATACTGACATTCCCGGTGCGCCTAAGTACCTCGAGTATGTGAGAGGCAACATGGAGGAACTTGCTGGAACTTTACGATATCAAAGCAAGACTCATCTCGTCCCGAACTCGAGTACCTCACACGGGCCAGTGAGTGATGTTAAGGAATCCTGATTGCTGCCATCTGCTGACTTAATTAATAGCGAGCCCTGGAGGTTACTGTCGTCGTTTGATTGTCATTTGAGATTATGTCCATTGATTTCCATGCTACAGGAATCCCATTGATGTTGACTTTAAATAAAATGGATCATTGTAGAATATAAAGGGTTATCTGCCCCAGGCGTGTAGGCCTGGACGAGGAATTTCCGTGCAAAGTCTTTGAATGAATGTTGTATTGAAATGTTTCAAACCGATAGTGTACTTCTTCGCAGGTTTATAGCAAGCTGTATGTGGCTCTCTGGATGGCAGCGATTATCTTTTCTAGCCACTCAGCAGCACCCTCGTCGTTACCATCTTCCAAGCATTCCACAACTCCGGGAAAGATGACTCCGTCATAGCCATACCACAGCCCTGGTGCAAAGATCTGCCAGGATGTTAGAACACGAACAACGGGGACCTCAGACTTACACTTACAGCATGTCGATACCACTCCCGCCCAGGCAACCCAGCCCCCTTTGGCAAAAGAAACTGCCGCTCAAGATAGAGATAGGCCTTGTTGACTTCATTGTCAACTTGCATGTTTCCTGGAGCGACTCTGAGTGGCGATATCGCGTCTAATCGAGACGCGGCGTCTTTGAAATGCGTGACTGCGTTGCTCAGAGCATGAAAGCTGAGGACGTTATCATATTTGGCCTTGAGCTTCTCCAAGTGATGAGCGAGGGTCCTCGGATACTCCGCTGCCTCGAACGCAATATTACCCAAACCAGCAAGGCGAACCGTCAATAACCCCCAGAGTTGAGCCATCGCAAGGTGCTTCTTGAAGCCGATATCGCCAAAGTTTTCGACCCAGTAGTAACTATCGTAGTTGGAATGATAAGGATAAACACCCTTTCCCTGCCGATTGAAGAGCAGGTCAACGGATGGAATGCCGAGATGATCGAAGAAGACCGTGTAATCACTTCCCGTACCCATTAGATCGAGGGTTGGGGTCACCTGCTCTGGGTTGGCTCGCTTTTGGTCGCTCAGCCAGTCATCATAGACTGTTCGATTCTCGTTGATCGGCGATTGGACCATGCGAGTAACATCACGAAGCACGCTTGCAAGAAGGGGACTACCTGTCGCGCCAAGGATCGTCCCACCATTGGTCGCCTCGTCAACATTAAGGTCTGAGCAAAGATCAGCTCCTATCCTTCCCACAATCCAGACATTTCATAAGACTTACAGGCAACACAGTTCTTGCTTAAATCATCCTGGTGGTGTTCGCCCCATTCGGTAGAGCCGACCAGGCCGTATTCTTCGTTGTCCCAGTTTGCTAGTATTCTGCATGTCATGGGTAGTGAGACATAACCCTTAACGGTTGAATCTTGCAACTATAAAAATGCATTACTTACATCTTCCTGTATGGTTTCCAGCCTTTTGAGTAAAGCTCGCCAAGGGCCCTAGCGACCTCGTTCATGGCCGCCGTCCCACTCACTGGGTCGATAGCTCCACAGCACCAAGAATCATGGTGATTACCAAGAACGATGCTCTCTTCAGTGGTCCCACGTATGGTCCCGATAACGTTGTAGATCGGGGCGTATTTGTAAGTGCCTGGGAATACAGTCAGAAATTTTGCCTGGTTTCCGGACAGCTTGAGATCAAAATTGCTCACCTTGGTTCGATAGAAAGACTCTGGCCTGGCTAGGGCCAGTACAATAGTCCACTGCCGGAAGACATCCTTCCCAGTCGCTGTGCTCACCGGCTATCTGACTAGGTATAAGTCCATGGCCGTTCAATGCCTGAAGGAAAGGAATAGCATCCGCATAAGAGATTGGCAGAGATGGTATCCTTGGGGTTGCGTGACCAGGATCCTGTCGTTCAAGGTCGGTGTCTGGCAAACTGGGGTACCCGGGTGTCGTGGGGTCACCCACGGCCACGGAGAAGAAGTCGACGCTGCCTCGCTGAATTGTTTTGGGATGCCTTGCTGGACCATGAGGGTAGGGCTCATAGCCATTCTCGACAGTGTATTCGCCGTCCTCTTGAGGGTCGTTATACAGAATGACGGCGGCTGCCCCGTACTGTTCGGCTGCTCTAACTTTGAGGCCTCTAAAGACCTTGGCATACTTGCATATGACGATTTTGCCTTTCACGGAGATTCCATGCGACTTCAGCAACTCAAAGTCTTTCAACTCGCCGAAGTTCGCATACACCAATTCGGCGCAGATTTCGCCGTTTGCGCTGAAGCCATGAAAGGCGGGTAAACCGTTTCGAGGAGACGACGTTGGATCCTCTGACACCTCGTCCTCTGTCAGGGATGCCTCGAAACCTATCTGTCCATCCGGTGCAAGGAGATGCAGAGCTTGAGACTTTGGAAAGTTTTGCAGGACCTGGTATTCTTCCAATGCGGCCGGGATACCGTACGAAATCCATAGATCCCGGATGCGTTCTGCGTGGGCTAGGTCCCCGGCTAGGTGGGGTTCTGCGCTGTACAATTTTGACCAATGGCGAAGTTTCGTAGTGTCAGGCGATTGAAGCATGAGCTTCTCAGCTTCATGTTGTGGTACCTTGATCTCCATGAGCTACCTGGGTATCTTAGTCGTATGGGAGTTGGAATGCTAGATTGAGGTTGCTGCTGCGGCTGTCAATGTCTTCTCAATGAACGCGGTTGCTGGACTGGATGTTAACTTTGACCAAAAGCGAAGCAGATTTGGTAGGGGTTTTGTGCCAATCCACTACAGTGGGGTGTCGAAAGTTCGTGTGCAGCGCACAGTATCCCGCAAAAGTACTACTTTTTAACAGCGAATAGAAACTTAAATATAATAAGAAAAAGAAATCAAAAGTTACTATATAACTAATTAGCTATTATATTAATATATATCTAAGTTATATTATATTTTATTTAATTATAAAAGTATTAAATAAATCTTTTAAATAAGAGATTTTTATTATAATAGATTATAGGGCCTTTTGAGTACGAATAGTACTATACTTCTTAGTAAATTCTTTTTTATTCTATATTTTACTTTTATATTTTATTATAAAGTACTAGTATAATATATTAAAAATATATATAAAAATAGCTTTATATAACGTATATAATAAGCGAGTAGGCTAGATAAGCGAATAGGCTACCTAACCGCTATTAAGCTACCTATATTACTATAATACGTATTCCTTAACTAAAAAGAATAATAGTACTAACTAAAAATACTTAATTAAACCTAGCTATTTAAGCTATTTATAAAGACCGAAATCTTACTATTCGGGTTATAATAAAGATTTATAATATTAGTTACGTTACTTTAAATTATAGATTAAATAAAATATTATTATAACGTAATACTATTCCTAACTCGTAAAAATTAACTATACTTAAAAAAGAGAAGTTAGTTAAGTATATTTTTAATTTAAATTCCTAATCGTTTCCTCTCCGCCTTAGTAATATAAAAAATATAACTAATTAACTACTTATTAATTATAATACGCTCCCCGTTAAGAAGTATTAGGTTTTTAACTTCGTTAAGTACTAACTATAGCTCTAGACGCGCTTTTTTTATAAATATAATTATAAAAGGGCTTAATATAAAAATCTAGACGTAATAAACGCATAGTTTTACCTTATAATAAATATAATTATAAAATATAGTATTATAAAATCCGATATTTATAATTTCGACAAGATTAGTTTTATAATAAGCTAGATTATATTTAAAATAGTTATTATAAATATAAAAAGGCGTTTAAATACAAAAATAATATAGCTTAGTAATTATAAATAGGTTATAATTATCTAAGTTATTAATTCGTTAGGCTATAGCATCCCGCTATATATTATTATTATAAATAAATATTACCTCTCTATTTAATATATAAAATCTAGTTTACTACGTAATTAAGTTATCGTAACGTCTAAAAACGGATAAATAATAAATAAAAAAGACCTAAATTAAGTAAAACACTTTAAATAGTAAATAAAACTACGTATAAAAAGTCGATATTACTTCCTTATTATTAATAAATATAAAAGTTATTACTTTACGAATTTTAAATTATATTATAAAAAAAATAATATCGTTACCCTTTATATACTAGCTTATTTATCTTATTTATTATAACCTTTAAATATTAAATATTTTAAACTTTTAAAAACGGTATATAGTTAAAAAATTAAAAAAAAAATATAATAGAGTAATACTTGTATTATAAAAGAGGACTTCTTTTTTACGTTTTATAAGATATTTATATAAATAATTATAAAAAAAAAAAATATTTAAAGAGGATTTAAAAAAGCCGGGCTTATATTTTTAAATATAGAGAATATACTATTTAAGCTTAATATAAAGTTATATACTCTAATACCTCTAAAATCCGTCTTAATAATATTACTAACTTAGACTTCCTAAATACTAAATAACTTAATAAAAGTATTATTATAGTTATAATTTATTAAAAATCGAATTACTTATTATTAAAATAGCTCCTTAACTTTAATTATTAAAATTATAGAGTATTTATTAAAAAGAGTATAAGGATTTATATACTAAATTACCTTATTAAAATTAGAGAACTAGATTTTTTAAGAAGAAAATAACTTACTTAACTAACGTAAGAGGGCTAAAAAAATATATTTTAAATAAAAAAGAAGTCTTATAGTAGCCGATAAGGAAGACCTTTAGTTATAAAAAGAGGTAATAACTTAGATTAAAAAAGAAATATATCGGAGTAATAGTCGTTAGCTAAGGACTAAAATAGGTTAATAATAATATAACGTTTACGGGAATACTAATTATAATACGTAAATATATTAAATTACTAAAAGAATATTTAAAAAAGAGGATACTAAATAGTTTTAATTAAATTACTTTTCTTAGTACTACTTTTTAATTACGAATATAATATAGTCGTAGTTAGGTAGCCTACTCGCTTATCTAGCCTACTCGCTTATTATATACGTTACTTTATATACTTAAGTATTTTATAAAAGTTTAAATTATATTAGTTATATCTAAGTTAAAAAGATATTTATAGTAATTAAGAGACGTAGTTAGTGGGCTATAGGTGACGCACTAGGAGGGTGTACACGAACTTTTGGCACCCTACTGTACTAATGCCATTGTTCAGTCCCTGGCCGATTACGGGGATACCGGGTTTTGGAGACCCTAACAATGATAAGAACAACATTGGCTTCCTAGTTTGGGTGGAAGCCAAATCTTATGTGATGAGATGAGGTGATGGTTTGTTATCCCCTGAGAAGGTGCCTGAAGTGAAATATGCTCCTGCAACCTGTATTGCTGCCACGACACTACTCAGCTTCGTGTTGCAAAAAACGGCTTGATCTTCTACGGTGCATCCTGATCGCTGATGGTCACTTGCAGCATAACGCAGGACCAGAGACAGACTGCATAAGATGCCTATTTTCAGAATAGTGTAGTAGTCATTTGATATACTTAATTTCAACCACAGATATCGACGATCAGACGCATGAACATTCTGATGCAGTCAAGATAGTCCGGAATGTCTACTTTCTCATCCGGCCGGGTGTTGTACTTCCCTCCAGGACCACAGACAATACCTTCCATCCCCAAAGTTTTGAACAAGTGGCCAGCGTCGGATCCATAGAAGCAAGTCGGCGCAAGAACCCCTGTTGGCTGCTCGTAGTTGCGAACCTGGCGATAGGCCTTGTTCAGGGCTCTCACTATCTGTGAGTCTCTTGGCACCTCAAATGCCGGCATTGTAGGCTCAAATCGCTGCTTGACAGTAGCCGACATACCAGCATAATTACCAACTACAGTGTCCACTAATTCGCGAATATCAGCCATGACACCTTCTTGTGTCTGGCCAGGAGCGTAGCGCGCACTTCCAGCAAGCTTGCATACGTCCGCTACTTGGGCAGGTCTCCATTCAACCAAGTCTTTCCCAAGGGCACCATGAACCACGCCCACTGAACATCTGTTGCACTTTTCATGCTCACTGCTCTTGGCTCCACGGAATTTCATACATGCCATCTGGGGAATCAGCTCACATGCCGCCAGGATCGCATCGGATGCCTCCTCCTTGGCTGACATGTGTCGAGTGACTCCAACAATCTCAATCTCGAAGACTAGAGCTTCCGCGTGCATTGTGACTGCTTGTATATCCGACGGTTCGCAGTTAACAAAACAATCGGCATTGATCTTTCCTTGATCAATGAGGGCCATCGTACCAACGCCTCCCTGAAGCTCACCAACCACATAGGTTAGGACAACATTGCCTCTGGGCCGCCAGCCAGCCTTAAGCAGCGCTTCAACGGCGCAAAAGTACGCGGCACAGCCAGATTTCATGTTACTGACTCCAATGCCGTAGATAAACTCGTTATCAATCTTTCCCTCCCAAGGATCGATCGTCCAACCTTCGGAGACAGGATTTGTGTCTAGATGTCCATTGAAGAGTAGCGTTTTGGGGACTTTGTTGCTCGCTGCTGACACTGAATGGTGGCCCTTCCAGATCCCTATCGCATTTTGACGGCGGCCGTTGTCGAACGGGCAAATAGCCGACTCCAGTCCAATCTTTCTCATTTGCTCGGCCATGAAATCCGTTGCCTCTAGCTCACCATCGGTCTGCGAGTAGCTCTTGATTTGAATGAGCCTTGACAAGAAGGCAAGGCAGTGAGCCTGGTCAATGTCTGGGACCTGCATGATCTGGCGATATGTTTGTGGTTTCGAATTGTATTTGCTTGAAGATGGATGACTGATTTACTGATAGGCCCTGAGCCTCGGCAAGCGTTGCATCTAACACAGAAAGTCAATGGCGATCGGCAGTGCAAAGAGTGGCGACCACGTTTCGGATGTTGCCCAAAGTCGACTTACTGGACTTATCCTTTACTGAGGACCGAAGAATTGGAATGGGCGCCGGGAATCACTCGGAAGCAGGTCGATGTGCTTGTCCGATCCATGGGTCAAGTTTGGATGGTGCGAAATAGTCGGAGTCTTATCGGCCGCTCGGGCTTCCCCGGCGATCCACATAGAAACGGGGCAAGTGGGGGACGTTGATACAACCCCTACATGCTAAGCTTTTGAGCGGAAAGCCGGGTCCACTGTCTTTGTCTTGGAGATCTTGTCCTTGTCGAAGGCGGGGACGCGATACAAAACCACTCAAGAAGTTTTCCGAGCCGTCGTGATAACAAGATCGGAGCGGTTGCCCGCCGGCAAAGGAAGCCACATCTTATCAGCTACTCCAAGACTCAAAGCTAATGTCCGGCTGACCGGCACATTGTCCACCGCAGGGGAAAAGAAGATAAATGTTTTTCCATTGATTGATAGGTCATCAGTGGCTACCTATATGTACTTGTTGTGGAGACATTCATTCAAGCTTACTCGAAGGTGCCACAATTGATAGCGAAGTCGGCTTTTAGAGGCCGAGCCAGTGCATCTACCATTCTCAAATGTTTGGATGCAGCACGATTATCCATGATTACGGCGATGCTGCTCTCGATAAGCGTGATTCTAGCGGAGATATTAGACCACCGAGCCGGATATCGCAAAGAAAGACCACATAGCTTGTTTTCCATTCTCAAGGTTCGTCCCGGAAAATGAGAGACAACATTGAAGCATCACCGGCAGCGGCTGACACTGCCAGCGGCCATGAGGTCGCTCTCAAAGGGCAAGTCGCTGATGAAGGCTATGATATTTTTGAGGAAGGCATCGCGCAGTCCGTGCCGCAGGATATTGCCAATGCTGTCAGGCGCAAGATTGATCGCCATCTTTTAGCGTTGATGTGCTTGCTGTATGGCCTCAACTATGTCGACAAAGTTGCAATGGGATGGGCAGTATTGTTCGACTTCCGCAAAGACCTTGGTCTGGTGGGAGACGAATATTCATGGGCCAGCTCCATGTTTTACTTGTTAGTGATGACGACCAAATCTGTGGATTCAAGAGTAAACTGACTATCTGCAGCGGATACCTTGCCGCGCAATACCCTGCCAACTATATGCTTCAGAGATATAAGACAGTCCGGATTCTCAGCTCTGCCGTGATTATTTGGGGTGTGCTAATGCTTGCGTGAGAATACAGCCCTCCTCAAACATTCATTGTCGTATAACTGACTATCGGAAAGCCATCTTGGCCTGCGAAACTTTGCCGGACTGATGGTAGTCCGCTTCCTCCTCGGTGTAGCTGAATCGGTTGTAACTCCTGGCATTCTGCTGTATACTTCTATCTGGTACACCCGAAAGGAACAGGTCTTGCGTACGATGCTGTGGGCTGCTATGCAAGGGGCATTTTCCATTGTTTGCAGCTTGTTGTCTTTCGGCCTGGGTCATATTACCAACACCGCCTTGAGGCCTTGGATGTACATCTTCCTAGTCTTGGGCATTCTCAGCATCTTGGTAGGCGTCCTCTGGATCATTTTTATGCCGGAGACCCCCAACAAGGCCAAGTTTCTCACACACGAGGAGCAAGTCATTGCCGTACAGCGTGTTGCGCAGAACATGACAGGCATCAAAGGGTATGAATGGAAGCACTACCAAATGTGGCATGCAGTAATCGATGTCAAGACTTGGCTGGTACTGGCATTTGTTCTCTTCACTCAACTCCCTAATGGCGGTCTCACATCATTCGGAAGCCTGGTTATCTCAGGGTTCGGCTTTGACGCGTTCCGAACACTGCTCATTGGCCTTCCTTCATCCGTTGTCAGTGCGGGGAGCATGATTGTTTGGGGAACCATTTCAATTAAGTATGGAAATCTCCGAACATGGGGCATGATCATACCTCTGCTGCCTGCGATTGCAGGAATCGCGGCTGTCTATGCTACTATGGATACGGGGGCAAACAAGTACGGGCGGGTAGTTGCATACTGGCTGATCAACTCGTATGCTGTAACAGTGAGTCACTGAGCCCTCTTGCAAGCGAAAAACCTCTTACTAACCTGTTTTCACAAGTGGCCATTTGTCTTGACTATTGTCGGTCAAAATGTCGCAGGCCATACCAAGCGGGCATTTACTAACACCATGCTCCTAATGGTCTTCGCTGCTGGAAATATCGCTGGTCCATTCTTTTTCCGCAGTCAAGACGCCCCAAAGTACGTTCTTGCTATTGCGGTAGTTTTGGTCTGTTTCTGCGCGGCACTTTTGACTGCGATCGTCTTACGATTGAACATGGCTTGGCAAAATAGGCGCCGGGATAGCAAGTACGGTAACGTTGATGGGGTCGAGGAGAAGGTTGACGGGATGAGGCTTGGAATGCACGACAAGACAGACTTGGAGAATTTGGATTTCAGATACGTTCTCTGAGATTCGATGGCACGACTCGTAACTTCAGCCACAAAAGCAGGGAGGCGTCGATAGTTTCATCTCCCCTCTCAGGCTTCAATGGTGAGGGCGGAGATTTAACTGAACTGTTGCGCCGGCATGGTGCGAGCTTGAATGACCTGAAGTTGGGAAACATCAATCTAGTCCAGAGCGAGAGCAATTGGTCAGATGTCGTTCAAGTTGTGCGAGACGAACTGAGCGATTGCAAACTTCAGATAACCGACTGTGAACTCGAAGGCCAATATCTAGAGATCCCCGACTATTCCTGCGCTGATTCCTCTTCTTTTATGTCTTTCTTGCAAGCAATCCCCCGCGAAGAACTCACCGAGCTTCATGGCAAGTTAGTCAATTTGGAGATTTGAGTGAACCCGATCACTTCCAAGTAGAAGTTGGATAGAGTGTGTATATAAGACTTTTCAACGTTTTGGAATACCGCTTAGTAGAGATGACTGTCGCTGTCCAGGGATGTTTCATTTCTTCTATGAATACAGTCTGCCAATGCACTTATTACTCATCGAACTCGTGAGAAAGTTCCAAGAACTTCGGAAATATAGGCTGTGGAGGTGGTTCTGATCGTCGTTCGTAATCCTCCATCGTTGAATACAGACCACTATACGCTTTGATGGATACTCCTTGTCTCGCTTCATCAGTGGTAGTGATCGATTGCTGCTATTTGGCCATCTGAGAATGCATTTGAAAATTGAACAGATTATTCTCAGGCATGCTCCAGCCATGCCAGTCTTCGCTTTATTAATCAGGATCATTGACGATCTCTTTGGTCAGTGCCAATTCATCATGACCCCTATAGAGCTCCTTGGCCGAGCGTAGATAATCCTTGCTCCATTCCCTTTTTTTTAAGGAATTCAAGACCCTCTTCTTTCGCCCGCAGTTCAATCGTCTCCTTAAAGAACTCGCTGTAAGAATGATGTGCGGCTTCCCACTGTTCCTGTGTTGGCCTCATCCCGTCAAAAAGCTCAAGAAAAAGATATTGGTACCTTAGTCTCCAGCTATACATGCGAGTATGACCTGGTGTTTTAGCTCAGGTCGGCGCCATGCCAGCTCGCGCAAGGTGTCCGAATGTGGGCAGTGAGGCCACCAGAATAGCTCCGCAAGCGTTTCGCTGTCGATTTCGCTATCGATGCGGGATAGATCGTCGTTCATGATAAACCGCGCATGGCATGCCTGCCCAATAAGTCTAATTTCATACTGGCGTGGGAAAAGTTCGTCAACGCATAATTAGAGCCATCGCGCAAAATGGTGTGTGATGGTAGGCACCGCGAACAACGGCCGTGATCTCATTCGGAACTGTAATTGGCCGTCTGAGGCGAGAGTAACGCTCAATATTGCCGTCCCATGCAGCCATGAGAATCAAAATGCCCTTATTGATAGGAGGCAAATCTTCTGGCAGTGGGGTGTGAAGCAGAGCGATGTACTCGCCTTGTAACTTTGAGAGACGAGGCCCAGGCGAAGGACAACCGCTGATGTTGGAGTCCTCTTGAATATTGAAGTAGTGAGAGGGCAATTTTTCCAAGTTGGGATTCCTCTCGGGGGGGGCCTCCGATAACTTTCAATGGTCGATGGGGTTCCAAGGAGGATCGAACAGCGGTATTCCCACTGAGATAAGCTCCTGGTCATGGATTTGCAGATCTACAGATCGTTGATAATCGTTCACGACAGCATATCACACAGATTGGCTCATGATATGCTCAAAACTATCGAGCTTGCCATTATCACGAGCTTCCTCAGCAATGGAGACATCCGGTAGCAGGTCTAATTCGTTGTATAGCTCCCCATATCTTGCGACGGCGCAAGCTCGTCCAATGTGATAACGCATTTCTGGGTGGCGATAATAAAGCTTCCGATAGGTATCCTCAGTAGCAACATTAGGATACCAAATGCAATAAGGTACCACTGCCTGGTACGCCATGTCTGGAATCATGTTGCTCATGATGAGACGTGCGTTGTGGGCCCCGGCGTACCTATCAAATATCTTGCAGATATGATTCGGCGAAACTTTCGTAGTGTCGGATGCCGTGAACGAGGAAATCATTGCTGTCGCCCCATTACCAAACTCGCAGCGTCTCGCCAGGACCTATCACTCCGTTATAGAGACGTTTATCTTGACTTATCTTGCTAAAATCAGGACCCGAGCGCCTTCGTAAGCATCTTCATGTCAAGGCTCGAGAACACCTGAGCCATGATCGACGCAGCAGCAGAGGTGCGATGACGGGTCTCCTTAGTCGCGGTTAGGCGTTGAAAAGTGGCTGCATTGAGAGGGAGACCATCATTGAGTAGTCGTGAGGACTGGAATCTTATTCGGCTTCGTGGTGTTTGAATATCTGCGAAGAGAGGAGGGAAGTCTGACCCTCGTGTCGCGTTTTCTCGTACATTGAGTAAGAAAAGAACACGCGACAGATCTTGCCCAATAAAATATTCGTCTCGGTAGAGTCGGATATCGCGGCCTGGACGGTGTGCTGTGCCGCAGGTCTAACTTCAAAACCAAAAAGCCCAGCGCCCTACTCGGATAGGCCCCCTCAATGAGGCACGTCGTATGAACCTGGCCAGATATTCAAGGCGTCAAGAATTTGTGCATCCGGTTGTACCACGATGCGAGAAGTAAACCCCTGTCAAAATGCTACGTAAAGCTCCGCCTCTAAGGCTCGACGAAGAGGAAAGAATACAAAGTCCCACTGCCAATACTCAAACGCAAGTGATGCAGAGGGTAAGAACTCTCGACTATCGCCGATGACCCCGACAGCCTTTATGACAGTTGCGATACCATGAACATTTCTCGTAAAATGACACGGCAGTCTACCCTTCTAATGCCGGCGGGATGTGCCAAGATAATATAGACAGGACTGGGTTTTGTCTTATCCTGGGCTAGCATTCGACGGGTAACAAACCGACTTTCGTATCATATATGACGCAACGTTTCACTTAAGATTCTTCAGTAATTTGTGAAGAAGGCTTTGAAAGGTAAAATTGTAACCCTGAGCATGCCTGACTCCGCGATGGATGAGATTCACGACCTGCCCATGGCCTCAGCCCTTTATAGCCCAGGCCGTACAAAGTTCGTCAGCACACTGCTGGATCCCACCAAGGTTTTAGATCATGATTGGTATGCTGTTCCATCCGTGTGGCACTGCTACAAAGGTAAGTCATTAAAAACCGCAATAGTCGTTGGAAAGCTGCACCGCGGCCTTTAACATATCAGCAAGGATGAAGATGCTAGTCATCAAGGTTCCAGGCTGAGGCTGAAGCAGGTGGATAACTAGGCCGCCGCCAGACTTTCAGGAGCGAGTTGGACCAAATTCAGCCAAGACATGGGAACGGAACTGTTGAGCAAGACAATGGTCTTTTTAGTCGTCCGCAACTGAAGGTACATAGGTACAGGAAGCACCGAGAGACACGTTCGTGTTTGGCGTCAACATCGGCTCCAACTCCAAATATACACAGCATATGTAACGTGTAATCATAACGGTATATTCCGGCCAATTCCAATGCACAGATTTTCCGAGCAATGACTCCCAGGCTGCGACTTCGACATCTGAAAACACAACAGAGCTCGCCTGCGGCCGTGACTTCTTGGATCTTCATAATTCCGAGCAGGCTGGCATCAGATGATGCGTGGGCGTTGTGGCCATATTGCACTTGCTAGGACCACCGAAAACCCCAGTCAGCCATCTCCGTGGCCCGGGTGACTGTTCTCCTCATGACTCATCCTGCTGAAGTAAAGGTTCGACACTGCCTAAGGAGACATAGGCGACCAAGTGTTGCCCTGTGAGAAAAGTAGAATCACCCGATTGCCTTGACGGTATGGAAAATCTGCATCTCAATTAAGTGCGAATAATAATGCTTCATACCGATGAGACACGTACTGAAGGATGGGCGGGAAAGCATTGATGGTTGATAAAACAGCCTTGTGGAGTTCAAGATGCTGCAGGGGGTTTGCCTCTCACCAGTGCATGTCAAGTATGATACCCTGGAATGCAAAGCAGAAGGGCTCATCTCATACATCGCTTACTCACAGCATCACCGCAAGTTGAGCTTATGGTTCGGCTAGACGAGTGAAAGCTGCCATTGATATTGACCATTGATTCAGGTGCAGAACCAGCTCTTAGACTTTCATGCAATGATGCTCAGACGCATATCAAGGCTTGTAGGCGGCAGGTCAACAGCCTTACAATCTTTGCAGGGCATCTCAAACTAACTGCGTGTATGTTTTCGATAGTCTAGGTTCAATAGCCGCGTTCCCATTGGGCGGTAGATAACTTGTACGGAGAGAAAACGGCAGTGCCCGTATCGCTGCCGCGGCCGACACGAGCACGGGCAGACCAAGCAACCCATCCTCTCGAATTTGGAGGAACGAAGCCAAAATATGATTGGGCAGGTTAACTACCAGGGCGGACCGCCTTGAGCCGCTAATCTCCGGGGGTTACATTGACCTGCTGGATCGGGCCAAAATCCCCCGCGAGTGATGGCCCTTCCGCTCCCGGGACTCAAAGGTCAAGACCCTGCTCTGTCCGAACCCAGGATCTCTAACGTTTCTACGGATACAAAGAATCAGCGAAAAATATTAAGTAGCCGGGTCCCGGATCCACAATCCACTTTTCAAGGTTGTACCGGTGTGATTGATCCGTACAGGCGAGCGGGAACCAAGCGAATCATCCATCTCCAAAGAGCCGAAGACTCCAAGCACAAGCTCCCTGCTTGAGTCGTGTCTTGGTCTTCTGCAAAAGGACCTTGCCAAGATTTGTAAGGCACTTAATGAGTCCACCGGCGCAGAAAGAATATCTGCGCAGAGCAATCTGAACTGACCAATCCTAGGGTGCGATTTGAACTGTTGCTGCCCATGGTCGAGGGTGGAAGGCAGATGGTTTTTGCAGCACTGGATCGATGGGTCCTTCATCACAAGAAAGTTAAGTGTAAGTGGCTTCTCTGATTGCCAGCTTCCCTGTTCAGCTCACTCTTAATTTCCTCAATTTGTACTGACTGGCATCAACTTGTCAAGCTCCAATGAGCTTACCTCCCAGCCTGTCGAGCCAGTGCGCTCGCGCCTGCTCCTGGATACGAAGCGGAGGCAGGACATCGACGGAGAGAGAGGACCACCATGAAGCAAGCTGCAGGCTGCAGGCCACGAGGCGTGGATGCCAAGTCCAACCCCAGGACCCCAGTGACCAACGTCTTCGCGGTCATCATTGTGCAGCAGCCGTATGCTTACAGCATGGTTCGGGCGAAGCAGGGCAAACGAGAATGAGAATGACCCCTTGGCACTTCTGTCATATATGATGCCAGTGCCAATCACCCTCATGGACGACGCAACTCGACGTTCTTGGCCTTCCCCTGCTCCTCATCGACGGCCATCCTTCACCTAGAGCCCGCTTGCTCGTGTTGAACGACATCATCATGAAGACCACACAGGCCTGCGCTCTCCTATCGCTCGCCCTTCTGGGTGAAGCCTGTCTTCTCCCCGGAGAAGCCTCCGGCGGCCGCATTGCCCGCCGCCAAAACGCGAGCCCCAACAACACGGGTATCGCCATCGGCACGGGCGACCGCTTTGACGGCGGCAAGAAAGTCCCCCGTGGTCTCGGCACCCAGCCCGCCGGCACGAATCTCACCTCCCTCCTCAACGTCAACGAGATCAAGAGCGCCGTCAAGGGCCTCGTCCAGGAGTATGACCTTGAGTACTTTGAGTCGCCGTACAAGACGTATGAGAATGCCTCTTTCTTCGGTGCCAAGATCGGTGGCGAAGGCGGGAACTGCAGCGATGCGCACCACGTGTACTTCAACGCCGCCATTCATGCCCGCGAGCGCGGCTCATCGGATAACATCATTTACTTCATCTCCGACCTCCTATACGCGAACAAGCACGGCGAAGGCTTGACGTATGGCGGTCGGGTGTACACCAATGACGACGTAAAGCGTGCCCTGTCAACCGGTATTGTCTTCACGCCGTTGAGCAACCCTGACGGCGTGGCATATGACCAAGCCACACACAGCTGCTGGCGTAAGAATCGCAACCCGGCCGCCTCGGGGGGCAATCCGGAGGCCATTGGCATCGACCTGAACCGCAATTTCGACTTTCTCTTTGACTTCCCCAAGAGTTTCGCGCCCAGCGTCGGGCCCAACGTCGCTTCGGAAGACCCGACTGAACAGACTTACCACGGCGCTGCGGCGTTCTCGGAACCCGAGTCAAAAAGTATCAAGTGGGTGATGGACCAGCACAAAAACGTCAAGTGGTTCCTCGACATCCATAGCTACATCGGCGTTGTCCTGTACAACTGGGGCAGCGACGAGAACCAGTTGCGCCAGCCGTATATGAACTTCATGAACGAGTCGTACGATGCCGTCCGCGGTCTGATGCCGGATACGCCGTCCAACAATGGCGTCTACGGCGAATACATCCCCAGCGACGACTGGTCGGAGAAGGTCTTCGCTGCAATGCGAATGGGTAACGCCATGGACGCCGCCACCGGCCGCCACTACCAGGTTGAGCAGAGCTCATACCTGTACCCAACTTCGGGTTCAAGTGATGACTAC